ACATTAGAAAGATTTCCTACTTCTATAATTATTTCTTCTAGGGTAATGGTCCTTCTACCTTGCTACTTTATTTATTTATTTATTTTTACTCACAGTATTTCTGATTGGAACATTATAAAGGGAGAACCATTCAATTTGTCATTTTCTTGCACTATGAAAAGTAAACAAATAATTAAAACAGCACAAGCTTTTACATATGAGATAATTGAAAATAAAATGCACCCCAAAATGCCAATGAATTAGATCCTAAATAAAGCCATGTAGGTAAAATATTAATACTTTGTATATTTAAAACACAGGGAAGTGCTATGATATAGAATCATCCGAATCTACATTTTACTTAGAATTATTTCTTGAGAGTTTTTAATCAGCATTTATTCCATCTGGATTTTCTCAACCTTGTATTATCTATAATAATTATATGTATGTATGTAATTTTTTCTATTCACACATTTATAAGATTTCTTGGGTGTACACAGAGTCTATATTATCTATAATAATTATATGTATGTATGTAATTTTTTCTATTCACACATTTATAAGGTTTCTTGGGTGTACACAGAGTCCTCAAAAAGTTCACAGAAAGATTTGTATATTATATTTTAATTCCATTTCTGATGAACTTTTTTGAAGTACCCTCATATATATATGAGTATTATATTCACACATGTCAAACATTCTCACACATACTGCAGTAGCCACAGAAGACAAATTACTTTATATCTAAGTGGCAGTGGTCTCACTGTCAGTTCTTTTTGGCCTTCTCTTATTATTTTGACTTATCTTTTTTTGCACAAATTCTACAAGTTCAGCAAGTGTCCACTTTTAATATTTTCAGGCTGATAACCATGAATGAAGGGTCAGTATAGTTTAAATAAGAGAAATAGCCTTCATAGAAATTTAAAAAATGCATTAAGGGCCCCATTGAAATCTACAAATAATTGGCAATGGTGATTTATTAACTATGCATTCTTCCACAGAAGCAGTAAATGTTACACTAAGGAAGATTAGGTTTAAGTATGTAAATAGTAGAATAGATTAAAAAATGATTTTACGTAATAAACAGTAAAGTTCTTCTATATTGACCTCCTATAAAATTTGCTACTGAAGAAAATTGGTATTCAGTGAAGAAAATGGATAGAATGGGCTGACTCCCAGGATGGGCATGAATTCTCTATTATTTTCTCCTGCTGCCATATAGTCGGATTTCATGACTTTATTTTTAATTACATTGTCCTAATCTGATGACCATTCTTGTCCTTCACATGAGCTGGTGAAAGAAAAATAACCAAGTTTGCAATAGACATAAAAAGAGTCACATTCTTCCCTAGTTTGTATCTAGAGTGACAACAAATTCAAAGTATACCAGCAGAGAAGAGATGAAATAAATCAGAGGCAGTGCACTTTTTGAGATGTGATGGTATACGAGGATAGACAGTATCAAGGGCTGTAAGGAATCTGATTTCAAATCTCTAACGTTTTTGGAATAAGATATTTTCTGAGAAGAGTTAGTTTTCTTGTTATGTTATCAATAGATCAGAATTTTAGGTCCAGGTCTATTGTAATCAAGCAAACAATCATCAATATTCAACAACAACTTAAAATAATACAGAGAATCTGAGTTGCAGGGTCATAGTTATTAAAATAAAAAATGGGAGTAGTAGTAACTTTCCTCTCAATCCCTTCACAAGCAAGATTGTTATAATAAATGTAAACGTATTTTCTAATTTATTGATCATTCTTTATCTAGTTTGCACTGTGAAAAATGATGCTGGGGAAATGACTATATTTGAAGCATGACTGGACTGAAGGTCATTTGAGTGGTTAGTATAAGCAACTGGCATATTTGCTTCACTGAATTTATTCAATGTGTTACTAATTTTAATCTATAATTTAACCAAGTCCTGTATTGGTGAGTTTTGTGCTAGTAAGAATTTTTCTTGTCATTCACATGAAAAAATAAAACACAGCTAATGTATTAGTCCGTTTTTGTTGCTTATAACAAAGTACACTGAACTGGGTGATTTATAAAGAAAAACAAAATTTATTGCTTACAGTTTCTGAGGCTGGGAAGCCCAAAGTCCATCTGGTGGTGACAACAGTGAACCAGCAGTCTCACATTGCAAGATGGTGGAAGCAGAGAGAGCAGAGCAGAGAGAGAGAGAGAGACAGAGACAGAGACAGACAGACAGACAGACAGACAGACTCGCTTCTCCTTTTAAAGCCCTCAGAACCACGTCCCTGACCACCATTTTTAATTCATTCACTACTACACGGTCTTACAATCTAATCACCTCCTTAGGGTGATTATCATAATAGGATAATCACCTTTCCATTATCATAATAGGATTTCTCACCCTCTTAACAGTCATAGTGGGGTCCAAGTTTCTAATACATAAAACTTGGGAGACAATTCAAACTTCAATAATTTTGGGGGGACATAATTCAATCCAGTACAGGTAGTATCAGCCTGTTAGAAGCAAGTTATTACAGAAGGAATTGCTCTTACCTGTCTATGTACAGTTTCAGTTCAATAAATTTAGGTTGATCAGAAACACAAAATTCTACTCCTTGTATTATATGTTTTTATGATTTGGTTAGCACTACAAATTAACTAGGGATTCCTCTCCTGACTACATCTTTAATTGCATAATATGATGGAGTCCAATAAAAAAGATTATTAAACAGCAAACATTAACAAGCGTTTATTGAAATAAACAAATGAGACAGATGTTTGAATTGTTACCTATAATTTTGGGAAAGAAGAAAAGATTGAGATGCCTTGGGATCACCAAATTAAGGTGTTTAGCCCTATATTTGTCCTTAACTAGCTCGGTGACCTCAAGCATGTCATTTAACCTCTGAATCAGCTTGCTTTGCTATAAAATAAAGATAATCATGTATGATCTACTTCCATAATTAAGCCACAAACATTTATTAAAAACTTTCTATGTGCCAGTGCTTAAAATATTAAGAATATGAGATTATTAAAGAATTAAACACTATAATATATGTGAAAGCACATTGTAAAGGATAATACATTATGCAAGCTACTATTTTATGCTATCACATGGTTATAAATTTTTCTATAAATGCCAAGACCTTCTAACTCTCACCCCAAGTGCAAGGTACTCCTATTTTGACAAATTCTGCAAACAGAGATTTGCCTCAGCAGAATAAAATGAATAACAATTATCAGAAAGAAAAAAGACATCAGCTGAGAAAGAAGAAACTGCTTTTAACCAGGACAGAGAATGGTTAGTAAGACAAATAATAAATTCCAGAGGGAAGATGCTCCACGGTTAATGGGCTGGGAAGATCAAGGAAGAATTAAAACTGCCTATCAGTTTAATATTCCCTATGACAAAACAGGAAAAAGATAAAGGAAATTTTTTCTTTGATTAAAATGAAGAAAAGGGAAAACATTTAAAAGTGCCAACCCAACACAAAGAAAGAATAGGAAGAAAAAACTGTTATTCTGCAATGTGAGACACACTTTGAGAACAGTGTAAAGAAAAATGACAATTTCGATAATGAAGACTGGGGAGAGAGACCACAATAAGAACACAAACCTCTGTTTTGACAAAGCCTACAGTTGTTGAGATGTAAGACTCTAGACTTACTGACCCTGCATCTTTCCAAAAACTACCACTGTTGGTTATAACCATTGAAAACTAACATTCCAAAACATCGCTCTGCAGTCCCAACAACACACTAGATTACAATGAAAACTAGAAACTGAATGAGTCCTCTTGAGAAATATTTTCCCAGCTTCCAGGGAGTGTGACAGAAGAATATAGTGGGCTGTGATATCAAAACATAGCTCTGGATGAAGAAACATAGAACAGAACACATCCTATGTTATTCTATTTACATATTGCCCCAAGTAAATGAAAAATTCCACATGCATGGACTTTTTAAAGGAGTAGAAACATCAGACATGGTTATGGGATTTTTAACAGTTGGCTTTTAGTTGAAGTTTAACTACCCCTCACTTTATAGAATAGGGATTTCAGAAGATCTGACCAAAGTGAATCCCTTCTTTATTATCAACATCCCTTTTATAATCGGAGATTAATTTCCCAAGGAAAAAATAATCCCTCAATTGAAAAGAAGATACTAAATCTGTATTATTATAGATACCCATTAACCCATGGATTAATGATGCCCATTATTAATTCACACAGTCAGGATTTCTCTCATAGCTAATGACTGCCTAAAACATCATATCTGTAGTTCTTGAAATTTCATCCCTGTATTCTTTGTGTAACAGACCTTAATTACATTGTTGAAAGGGTTTAAAATCAAACACATTATTATTATAGTCTAAATATTCTGTAAATTTAAGGCTACAATTTAGTAAATTTTCATTCTTTACTTTGTCATTTGTTAAATGATACAAACCATAAGTTTAAATTCCCTGTTCTTTTTGTCGCTTAAGTCTTTAATCTTTCCTATCAAGTTTTAATAAGCATTAATGAAAGGGATTATAGGCTCAGCTGTCCTGGAACTCTTTCAGTATTGGGTTACTGAGCTACACAAGTTTCATGTCTACTAATGTTATTGGAATTAGAAACTCCAAAAATGTCACAGAAATTGACAAGGCAAAAACACACAAACAAAAACATTTAAATGTTCAGATTTAAATGAGAAATCCCTCCAAATTGGAAACATTTTTTTCTTATAGACAGTTCACTAGAATACCACTAAAATATAACAACTCAATAATTTTATGAAATTTATGGGTCATAATACCAATGATATCAGAATACAAAATAAAACCCCCAAATTAGTAATAAATTAATAATAATAATGATTAAATAATAATCAGTGCACAGAGATTAAAACAAAAAAAAAACGTTTTTTATTAAGCAAAAAAAACCCCAGAGGCAAGAGACTGATTTGAAATTCATGATGTAAAATGTGCCTCTCTTGACACGCAGAGGAAAGGGTAGTAGTCAAGGCCAAGGCAGAGGGAAATTAACCAACATATCACTTACTTCTTTGTATCCGAAGATAATGCGTCCATCCATAAGGAGGGTTGCCTGGAATGTGAAGCTTCCCAGGTTGTAATTATCCTGGAGATGTACGTGGTCCCACTGCACAACAAGTGCTGTGCCTGTGTAACCCATTGAAAAAAGATGAAACACAATGAGAACAAACTAGTTAATTCTGGTGAGAGCCTTCAACTAAACATGGATCTGGCCTTCAAATCTAGTAGTTGTGCTATTCCCCTTTTATGTGGTTAGTTGGAATTCTGTTACTGAAATAGAATTTGGGATGTTTTTGAAAGAATTGAGTATTCTCTAAATATTTGGTAAAATCTAACCTAATGCTGAAGTTAATATTCAGCCAACTCAGTGCAGGGAATTTTGCCTTAGGAATTTTGCTAATATTCATGGGTACTATCTGCTTAAATTTCTGTGAGCCACTTTCAAAATGCAGCCCAAGTGGATTGAATGAACTTCAGATACACTTGACACATGCTGAGGGAGAAAGGAACACATTCAGAGAAGCTAGAACCACTTACAAAAGACCTGAAAATGTCTTTCCATGCTTAGAAGTTTATCTTTCACACTGGAAAAGTTCCTTTAACACTAATGGAAATTTTCTTCTTTGATTCACAATGCCTGAATTTCTACCTTTGTTGTGCAGCTTAAAGGGCCCAGGGCTAAGATTTCTGAAACACCCTTAAAATAGGTAAAACAACAACAACAACAACAACAACAACAACAACAACAACAACAACAAAAAAAAACCATTAATTCTTGAGTGTTAATACTTTTACAATTCTCAGAATTAGAAACTCAACTTACATATTCAAATTTTTAAATTTATTCATTCACAAATAATTATTAAGGACACATTCCTTATTAAGTACTTGTGTAAGGTACTGGAGATAAAAATGGTTCCTTATAAATAGTCACAGTCCTTGTTTTCAAAGAATTTAGAATTTAGTTGGAGTGATACTTATTAATTTTTTTTTTTTTTTCCTTTTTATCTTTTTTCGTGACCGGCAACGGATCGCAACCCTCAGTGTCGCGCCCGTACCGGACTGGGACCGGCCATGGGATCGGAACCCTCGGTGTTGCTCCCGCCCCTCGCTCAGCCAGTGAGCGGCCAGTCTGTATGTGGGATCTGAACCCTCAGCAGGAGCGCCACTGCACTTCCCACGTGGCGCACTATAGCAGTGCGCCACCGGGCTGGCCCAATACTTATTAATTTTTAAAATTCATTAAAATAAAAGTAAAATTCAAATATTAAGAGCTACCTAGGAACAGAACGTATGAGCGAGCATATGAGAGGGAGACTTATTTAACATGCTTTGTGATTTTGATGCTAATAATATAAAAACTTGGTCATTAAAATCCTTTGCTCATGAGTGAATGCACCTAACATCACCTAGTGAGTGACAGAGCTTAGAAAATAATCAGCTTTCATTAATTCATTTCTTATTTACTTAGGGTCAATTCTTAAGGTTATTCTGTATGGGAGATCATGGAATAAGCTTCAGACAACTAACTGGCTGTAGTTCTGCCTTGATTATACTTACAATCTACTTGTATGAGGAGTCTTCAAAAAGTTCATGGAAAAATTTATATTACCTTTTAATTTTATTTTTACACGAACTTTTTGAATTGCCCTCGTACATCCTTGGGCATTAACATCTCATGAGGTTGGAAAAAAAAGGGAAGGAGGATAGAATATAACAGTTCTTAAAATAATAGGGAGAAATAATTATTACAGCTAATATTAGAGTTACTTAATATAGAATCACACTTCAGTGCTATTCAAATTGTTTGAAATGTATTTCCCTAGGTACATATCTAACTATGTTTAGTTTCCTTCTTCCTTTGCTATTTTCACCCATAAAATGGCTTCATGACACTGGTCAGAAGATTGCTTTTAGCAAAATGATTATATTTCCCCAAAGCTACTGCCACCATCAAGTCTATTCTCCCTGCCAGTAAATTTCTTCCTTGATCATCAGAAATGACAGGAGTAGACCTAACTTTGTTCACACCAAACACTTCCATTATTTTTAGAGATAAATTTGTCATTTGAACAAATAAATATTATTATTGTGTTATAAAAAGTACAGAAAATTCTATCTTTAATTATTTTTCCCAATGCAAACTCTTGGTTATCCATAATTTATTTACCAAAATTACAGCTTTAAATGAGATGTAGAGATAAAAAGTTACTTATGTCTCTAAGACCTTGAATTTCTTACTTGGATTTTAATAGCATTTACTGATATATTCTAGGTTTTCTCTGACATTCTATATGTCCCCAAAAGAAATGCAGGAATAGATTGCTGTCAGTATACTTGATGAAACTTAACAAGCTCTATTCATATTTTAAACTCAGGAAGACTTTATTTTAAGTGCATTTTAACTATCTACTACCTCATACTTTTAAAAAGGTATGTTCATTTTATGGATACATACAGTTCATACGTTTTAGGAATTTAATATCAATATTTATGCAACTGGCCTCTACTTGAGGATCAGAACTAACAAAATTATTCTTATTTAGATATTTTTCTATAGGAAGGACTTATTGCAGATAACATCAAATAAATGTGTTTGTTCTGTCTGTGGTGTTGTCTACAGCAACTCATTTATTATAGAGCATGATAAACAAAATAAATATGGTGTTAATAAATATTTATGAATAAGCTAATGAATGAATAAATGAGTGAAATTTGACCATGTGCTGTACTGCACATGTTAACGATTAACAGTACTTGTCATCTCAGAGCATTTATACTAAGCAGTTTACAAATCCAATCCACCAAATGAACAATCCTGTTTACAAAAATATTAATTCAAACATGATACTTGATGTTTAAAAATATGTATAAAGCCAAAAATAAGCTAGCCCATACATACCATTATCAAAATATCTGACTGTTGAATTTCTGGATACACTGGGATCGAAATTTGCCATTAAAGGTGCTATGTACTGTGTGGCTGTTAGCATTCGATGTACAACTTCTCCAGTGTATATAAAACCTATAATCAGAAAAATAGAAAATATGTTAATACAAAGAATTCCAGAGAAAATTATAATTAAAATACACCCAACTCAATTGCAGTCATATTTTGAAAATAAATATCATGGTAGCTAAAAAAAAAAAAAAGAAAGAAAGAAACAAAGGAACACAATTAAAATCTTAATGTCTGATTAATAATACATGGTCTGGATTAAGTAACAAATTCTCATATAATTTGATAGTACCTTGTAGACCGGTAAATCAGAAATCTATAATATACACAATTTAATTGTGGGAAAAGTGACTATTATCTGGAAGAGATGATTAGGCTGAAAACGCTAACATATTACTGTACGTAATTCAAATATTCAATTTGCTGTTATTAATCCCTTGTTATCTTAATACTATCCTAACATGGAAATCCTTTTCACAAATACATTCATTTTCATATTCATTTAATTTTTTTAAGCTGCAATCTCAGCATAGGACATTTTAGAGACCACACATGATGAAATGCAGAAAATGTTTTCATTTTTTTTTTAATTTGAAAGGGGGCTAAATACCCATAGCAAATCTTTCACATTTCTCAGATTGCTCAAGCCTTTATAATATTAGCACCCTATCAAGAAGATAGTCCGTATGTTTGCAGATAAGGTGGTAAAACATTGACAATGTACAAACGCCTCTTTATTTAGAGAGTTATCAATGCCAGACTATTCTAGTGGTTGGATAATGAGAGGGAATTTACTATGGAGGACTTGGGCTTTGAATTAACTTTCAATAGCTCCTATGGTACAACTCTAACCCACGTTCAATTATTCACACTAGGTTTATTTATTTTGTGGATTATCCATGACAAATTGTTAATCCTATGCTGGCTTCTTGCCTCCCAGGTCTTTAGCTGCCTGAAAGGAGAGTCAGCTCAAGGAATGCTAGCTAACTTTAGTATTAATCTAAGAGATACAAAATTAAGAATAAATATGCAAATGCACACACACACACACACACACACACTATTCTGAAATAAAATCCCAAGCAGATTATTTGCGGCAATGCAACTGTAATGTTTAGGCAATCATGAGTTAGATATCCAGGGCTACTATAGATCACTTTTCTACTTTCCCAGGAATTAATAAAATAAACAAAGCAAGATTTAAAGAAAAGACTCTTAAAAATTGTGTAGCATTTAAACTTCAAAAAGTATCAAACTTTGTTATCTCACTCTGCGGTCTGAATAAAGATTTCATTGACATATTGTGGCCTTAATAGTTTCAAATAACACTATTAAAAAATGGGCAAAAAACCTGAACAGACATTTCTCAAAAGAAGACATACAAATATCCAACAAGCACATGAAAAAATTCTCAAAATCACTTATCATCAGGAAAATGCAAATTAAAACCACAATGAGATATCACCTCACCCCAGTTAGAATGGCCATTATCAACAAGACAGAAAATAACAAATGCTGGTGAGGATGCGGAGAAAAGGGAACCCTCCTACATTGTTGATGGGAATGTAAATTGGTACACCATTGCAGAAAACAGTATGGAGGTCCCTCAGAGAACTAAAAGCAGATCTACTTTATGATCCAGCTATCCCGCTACTGGGTATATACACAAAGGAAATCAAATCAATATATCAATAGAACCCTGAGCTCCCATGTTCACTGCAACACTATTCATGATAGCCAAGAGATGTAATCAACCTAAATATCCATCAATGGATAAATAGATAAAAAAACTGTGGTGTATATACAACATGGAATACTATTCAGCTATAAAAAGAAAAGGTATTCTATCATTTGCAGCAATGTGGATGGAACTGGAAACCATCACGTTAAGTGGAGTAAGTCAGGCACAGAAAGACAAAAAAGTGGTTCTGCTAGAAGCAGTGAGTAGAATAATGGTTCTCAGAGGGAGGGAGGGGAGGGCAGTGGGAGGAAGAGAAGTAGGAGACTGACAGGTACAAAACTATGCTGTCTACCTTAAATGAATCATTGTGTAGGATATACACATATTGAAACAACACACTGTACCCCACAAATATGTACAAGTAAATGTTAAAATAAATAGCTAAACATATTACTAAAAAAAGTTTTAAAAGTATATTAAGCTTTGTTATCTTATTCTATGATATGAATAAAGATTTCATTGGCATATTGTGGTCTTAATTTTTTCAAATTCTAAATTGTGATTTCTAGGTAAATTACTGCAGAATTAAACTATGGTTATTTATTTTGAAATTGATTTCTCTCTCCCTGGCAATGTCTTCTTTCCTTTGACTACCTTTTAATTTTTCATAAAAAACATAATTGCACTCTTGCTATTCATCTTCAAAAATCTATTTTAACTAGCAAAAACTTCAATATGTATTTTTGTTGTTCTTTCTTGTTTCTCATTTGCCAAACAGTATCTTTCAAAATAAATTCCTGACATCTTAAGCTAAATGTTGCCCATTTGAAATTTTAAAATAGCTCATTTGTTAAAATATATTATGGTAATATAGTCATTACTTTATTATATTTCTCTCTAGATTTTCAGGGTCATAATCTGAATGTTCAAAGGCCAATATTGCATCCTTAAAATTATAAACATGAAGAGCAAAGTTTTTCAGGGTCTCTGATTTATTTTTTCTCCTATCCTCACCACCATGCATTTATAATTTAATCATTAAAATGGATACAAAATTCCTATAGATATGATCTTTTAAAGAAAATGTTTGAATTATACTCTGAAGGTGTTCTTTCAGAGAAAGTAGCTTCAAGTAGTTATTTCCCTACTCTATATTCTTCATGTACTCATAGAAGAAACTGCTTAACTTGGAGTACAAAGAACAGTAATTAAAGGCAAGAAGATAATTTTAAGTGAATGTGAAATCCATTCTCCAAAACAACTCTGTAAGAAAAGGAACAGTAATTTCTACAGATACAAATTTGCAAACTGCAGGACACTGACCACTGCAGTTCTTAATTCTTACTCTTGGTATATAAAATAAATAAGATATATACACTTCTCCCTGAATGTTTCTAAACTGATTTGGCAAGAAATTACTTTCCATTCTCTATAACCCATTTTTCAGATCATAGGAACCATTAAGGCTGCTTCCTTTCCCCAAGAAAGAGTATTCCACACCTCCAATTTCCCAAATTTCAAAGGCGAAGTTTCAAATTGTTCTCAAAGAATTAAGTAAAATTATAGAAAACTTTGATAAATGTAAAAGCTATAGTTATAGTTCTTGATTCTTGTATTATTGTAACATTAAAATAAATTATAGTTACTATTCCTATGAGCACTACAGTTGCTGCCACAATGAACAAGAAACAGCTACTACAATCATGGCTGTTTCTGCCACTACTATTACCACCACTATCATCGATGAATATGAAAAATAACCCTACAATGAAAAAGCCCCACTATTCTGAAAAATGAATTTAGTTTTGCTAACTCCAGAAATACTTGTCTGTTTTTCTTAGCCATAATAAAAACTAATTCGTATCACTATCTCAGGTTAGTCTTTAAATGACCAAGAAGTGAAAGACTTTACTGTAGCGATGGGTTCTACTTGGTTCTCCTTAAGTTGATAGATTTATTTATTTATTTATTTATTTTGTCTTTTTTGTCTTTTTTCCGTGTCCGGCAACGGATCGCAACCCTCAGTGTTGCCCCCGCACCGGACCGGGGACCGGCAACGGGATCGCAAGCCTCGGTGTTGCTCCCATGCCTTGCTCAGCCAGTGAGCGGGAGCCGGTCTGTATGTGGGATCCGAACCCTCGGACGGGAGCGCCGCCGCGCTTCCCAAGCGGCGCACTATCCAGTGTGCCACCAGGCCGGCCCTAAATTGATAGATTTAAAAAATATCATTTCAGCAGTGGTTAATAACTAAGTAGAGAAAAACCTTACAAGCTTGCTGAGAGCAGAGAAATGGGATTAGGTATTGATTAAGAACCAGCTATGCAAATTCATGCAACAAAGCTTCAAGTCATTCATAACTTCCAACACCCCATTTGCACATTTACCTCTTTTCTTTGGCTGTCCTGAGCATGTCCAATCATAGAGAAAAAATATTTCATTTTCTCAGTCCTTCACATTTTGGAGTAATTTAAGCATTATATTTTAATTATTGTCTTCAAACTTCCTTTGTAGCCTTTTGAAGAGCTAATCATAAGATGTCTCCTTTGCTCACTATGTGCTCCTAGTATAAATACCAGTCATCTGTCTAGTCATAAGATTTATGGAAAAGTGGTTATTATCCAAATAATTTGGGGCTGAGAACAATACCTTTATTTAAAAGAATCAAATAAAAAAAACTCTTATAGCTGGATAATAATTTCAGAAATGTTGCAGAATACAAAATCAGTTACCCCCAAATCAGGTGCATTTATATTCTCTAATAATGAGCTAACAGAAAGAGAATTTAAGAAAGTAAGCCCATTTACAACAGTCACCAAAAAAAAAAAAAAAAACCCTAGGAATCAATTTAACCAAGGATGTGAAAGATCTCTATAATGGTAACTACAAACTACTACTGAAAGAAATTAAAGAAGACACAAAAAGATGGAAAGACATACATTCCATGCTCTTGGTTTGGAAGAATTAACATTGCAAAAATGTCCATACTACCCAAAGCAATCTACAGATTCAATGCAATCTTCATCAAAATACCAATGACATTCTTCACAGAAATAGAAAAAAAATCCTAACATTCATATGGAACAACAAAAGACCCTGAATAGCCAAAGTAATCCTGAGCAAAATAAATAAAGCTGGAGGAATAACACTACCTGACTTAAAATTATACTACAAAGCTGCAGTAATGAAAACAGAATGGTACTTGCCATAAAAATAGATATTCAGACTAGTGCAACAGAATAGAGAACCCAGAAATCAACGCACAGACTTACAGCCAACTGATACTTCACCAAGGCAACAAGAACATACGTTGGGGAAAAGACTGCCTCTTCAATAAATGGTGTTGGGAAAATTGGATATCCATATGTAGAATGAAGCTAAACCTGCA